TCTATCTTGGATACACAGAGAAGACAGAAGTACCCTAACACTCTGCATTTTAGCATTCTGGTGCTGAGAGCTCAAAGAAACTGCCCTCAGCAGTTTGAATACCACAGATTCATGGCATAGCCCAGGAATAACTCCTCCAAAACATACACTGAGGCTCTATCCAAACTAGCCTACCTATTTCCCTGCTGACACCACGTTGCAAGTTGTCATTCTAAGATAAGATGCCGCTTCCTCTTTTTGCTTTCCTTAAAAGCTGAGACCCAAATGCAGGTGTCACCAACAGCCCCACTGGCTCTCCAGTTCCCTGTGAAGGTGGGGAGCATCTCCCCAGGATAAATTAGTCTGCAGCCTTGCAGTTCTGAGTTGTACTGAACTATCAGTCTTGCCCTTCCCTTCTCCCCTCCTGGGTGGAGACAGGTGAGTGGATGGGAGAGCTGGCTCTTTGCTAATCTCTGCTACAAGAAGTGAATAAGCTTTACATCCCTTTATTCAGCTTCTTCACTCTCTGATTCCTTATTGATAGTCACATCTTTGCCACTAATGCAATTCAGTACCTAGCTACTGTTTCAGGGATCAGAATAGTCCATTAGAATAGTGTCAGCTGCTGTTGTAAGAAGCATACTGCTTTACTTCCATGCCTTGACTAACACAATGGTCTCACGAAAGCTAGTATTTCTCTATCTGTAAGACTGTGATACACCCATTTTGAATTATTGCTAGTTAGCTATTACCAATATCACTGCTCACTAGCACTACTATGCTGCACAAACATGTTGAAGCATATTCTTTTGATACGCATTTGTTCTTGGAGACTCGGATGTGCCAGACCACTAAGAAATTACGTGAATTGCCGAGTTACATGCTACTGAACACCGTGGTCTTCTTGAAACAACCAGAATAGAACAGATTTAAGAAGAGAAACGACATAGCTTAGAATCCTTGTTCATGGTGAAAAAGTACAAGTGGCAACATATTACTTCCTCAGATGCTCAGATGACTCAAATTAACAGTAAAAACCACCCAGCACAAACATTTACCAACTGTTAAAAGTTATAATAAGATCTACTGGGAAAAAAACACAGAAGAGGAAAGATATATATCTATATATGCCAAGCCAGTGAGAGCTGTTAGGGTTTTTTTTGACTGTTTAGAAAAATTTTCAAAGGACAACATAATTAGATTAGCAGATACACTACAGAACATCCTGTAGGTGTTTTATCTTGTAATGGCTAGTAAGATTAAATCATCAGCCTAGCACATAGTCTTTAACATTTTTTTAAACTATTTTTAGTTTCTGTTTCTGAAAAAAATTGTAACTAAACCACAATTGCTTTTGAGAATGGATCTTAAGAGCTTAAAAAAAATGTTATTTCTTACCTATAAATGGTATGGGGAACATACACTTCTCTAATTGGAAATTCCAAAATCTCTTTGTGAGGACGATTACGGTTTTCTGGAAATGGCTTCACTGGTAGTAATTCTGGTGTCAGACAATAACCAAGGTTTTCTGGAGCTGGGGAAATCTCCAGTTTAAGTGTTCCTTAAAAAAAAAACCCCGCAAAATGTTGGCAAAAATATAAAAAATAACCAAAGTATAATAAAACAAAAATGAAAACAATATGTGAGGTTACATAGCAACAGCGCAGAAATAAGAATGGGCTGTTTGGTTTCAAGGCTGCACGAGAATGAAAGCACAGGTGTAGAAAGATACACAGGAAGTAACCTACACACATCCCTACGCATCAGGCCAATATATAGCTCTTTATGTCTACCCTGTACAATTTCAAAGAAACAGGAAAGAAAGAAGGAATACTATATGCTGGGTTGATGTTCACATACAAATGATCTTCACACACAAATAATATAAAATTTGTCTGGGAGACAAATAAAGGATAAAAGGGCTGCTAATGCAGTTCTCTCTCACTTCCCCCACTCAGATTCTGCTCTGATTAATCTCTGCCAAAGTAGACACCACCCACCAGGAAAGCCAGGCTTACTGTGGTGAGCAGTTAAACAGTTAATACTGATAACATTTACCCAAGCATAACTAGACTTTCAATTTAAATTCTCTAATGTGATAAGTGAAAACCATTTGGGGAACTCAGACTTGTCATTTCTGGCAATCAGCTACAAAGCCAAAAGCATGCAGTTCATATTTTTTAAGGTTCCTCTACAACCCAGAAAAGCTTGAGCTGTAATTTATGTAAAAAGAAAAAATAAGCTGGTCAGCTTTTTGACAGTAGCCAAACACTATCTCTGCTTCTCTGCTTTGTTAGCTAACACTGACCCAAATACCCAAATAAGATGAAATGTGTATACATTTTAATCTCCCTCTGTAAAATGTAACCGATTTAAAAATATTGCAAGGAAATAGTAAGGATCTTAGAAATCTGCTTTAAAACACTGTATTTAAACAGTTTGAATAATAACAGAAGACATCCAGTAGATACATTGTAAATTAGGAATGAAAGCAAATCATTTTAGAATATCAAGCTAAATATAAATCTCCATACTCATACACGAAAAAACCTCAAAAGCATGTGTGCTCAGGTCGACACTGGGAACCCAGGAAGTTACACAATAGCACATACTATAGACTTAAAACCCAAGTTAATTATATTTTGGGGTTGGAATTTACACAACATTTAGGGGAGAAAAGTACATATATCCTTTTCCATCCAAAATTAATTATGTACCTGGTAAAGTCTTAATTCTTCTCTGCAAGGAAGATGATCTTTTGAAATCAGCTAAAAATTTGAACAGATCTTCATCACTGAGCCTGTCTCCTTCCTAACAGGAGGAAAACAAAAATCAGTACCTTTATAACAATACTCCGTAACACTGAGAAAGGCTTCTGAGTGAACCATGTCCTTGAGGCATGCAAAGCAAGTGGCTTACTGCCTACTTGACAGCAGCTATCCTCTGTCCCCACATGCACATCACTGGTAACTTTTCCCAACACAGTTCACATTACATAGGTGAAAAATGTCTTAGGCAATCAGAAATAAAAATTATCCAGTACCTGTTTAAAGAAGGTGCTGAGGGTCAGAGAGGTTGTTTTGAAGTTTGATACTGGATAGCTGTCCTCTGAGCTGAGACTTCTCTCAGAAGGTCTTCTCGCCTGCAGCAGTGTTGACCTTTTGTCACTAGTGGATCCTTTCCCTTCAAAGGGAAATTAAATGAAACATCAACTTGCTTTGTGTTGCTTCAGTACAAAGACTATCAGAATACACTAGAAAACCACAACTTCCCAGCAACATCAGAAGATAGAGTACCTAAAACATTCCACTACTTTTATTTCAGACTATGTGAAATAGTGGAGTGCCAGGACACATCTAGTGAAGTGACATTATTTTTGCTGCAGAGCACAAGCTTATTGAAATTTTTAGTTCATGGGTTATAAAGCACATTGGTCAATGTTGTTGACCAATAGTCCTGTATACTCTAGAAACTAAGATGATACATTTTGTCCTGTATTGCAAATGAACTCCATATGGCAAAGGGAGTTTCACTTCTACAAAGCCAGTGTTCAACCAAAATTGGGCCTAAAACATGGAAGAATATTTAGCATACATAAAAGTTAAAATGCAGAACTGAAACAGTGAACATATTAAGTTGTGTTTGTAGCACTGAAAAGGAAGACTGAGAAGATGTGACTTTGGATCTATTGTTCACTCTTGATGCCAGAGTGAATGACGTTGTTTCCTATGCACAGTCCTACTGAAGAGTCACTTTACATTAGTTAGAAAAGTTAGACAACTACCATTTAAACCTTCGGCCTCAGGTATTTCTCGTTCAAGTGTTGAAAGGTTGAAGAAATTAGTTAGGCTTATGGGAATCCAGGCGAATGGCATTCTGTATTTCCCCAGCCGCTGACAAAAGGATTCAGCTTGGGCTTTCAGTTTTTCAATCTTTTCTTTTGTCTAAGACAAATAAAATAATGAGTGTTGAAAAAGCAATCAGTTATTTTAATGCTACTACAGATAAAAAATGGAAATTTCATATTTACAGTTCAGTAAATAATTTGCATTCTTATCTCTCATGTTTCCTTGCTACATCACTGTCAGGACCATAGCTCTTTTGATTTGTACATTCACTTCCCCTTCCTTTTCAGTGAATTAATTTTCATTACAAAAAAGGAGAATGCAGATCTTTTTGCAGTGACCCCCAAGCCCAGCATGAATAATCACCATGAAAGGCTAGCAGGTTCTACTTCCTTCACCAGGCACACAAACAATATTCTGCTGAAAGCAACATTCTAAAGGTGAGAGAGATGTGGAAGTCCAGCAAACATTGTCAATCTGCTCCAAGGAGGTAAATGACCATGAATTCCTTGAACAGAGCTCATATTATCTATGGATGACATCAGTGAACTGGCCACGTACACACTACAACAGCTTGTTTGCCCATCCAAATCAATAACATATCTCTAAGGTACAAATATTTCTGCTAACTCCACATTGCACTGCCATCTCCTTTGCCCACCCTATCTGCTTTGTGACTCAAGATTTTGCCAGTATCGATTTCCAAAGTGGTCAGTAATGAATGTTCACCTTGCCTTCTCATGACTTCTTCGTGTTGGTCACAGACACCAGACTGCTTGCACCATGGATGCATCAACTGGCTTCCTCCCCAGTGTTCTTGGGATTCTGTCCTATTCCAAAGGGTCTGCTCTTTCTCTGTTTTTTTTCTTGTGCATGCATTTTTTGATCTAAACACCCTTTATAGCTATTTACTTACCTTGCCAGCCTCACTTTCCTTAAGAACCATGTAGGGTTCTGCACAGTCTCCAATTTCTCCTTGCTGAAGCACTTTTTCTATCTACAAAAAGCAGCAAAATATAACAGTCACAAGGAAAAAATATCACCCAAATAGTAACATGTTGGTTCTCTAGCAATACAAAAGAGCCTGCCTAAATGCACAACATAGAATTCTTAAAACCATCTTTATGGAGTAACCGATACTAAACTTCCTCCTAGTTTTCAATCTGGTTTGTTAGAAAAGAGGAAAATACATATGTGACAACACTGTCAATCAGGTACTACTACATTTTCACTGAAATCAGGAAAATTAACACATTCCAAATGAAGTGGCTTCAGAATTAAATAAACAAAATTATGCAAAGTGCACTAAACCAAAGCCACAAAACCTCCACATAATGTAACTAAAATTTAAAAAAATTGCTTATTTCACTTTACTTTAAATTTCCCTTAGGCAGAGATAAGAAATTACAAATACTTATTAGAACTAGAAGACAAGGTATCAATATAACTTCTTAGCTTGGGAGTGAGATATACCAGTGGACACCTGCACATGTACTATTAAAAACTATCAGAATTCATCTCAGCTACAGGAAACTCTTGTTTGTCAGCTTCATGAACTCAGACAACAGGCACAGCCAGGAACAAGAACAGTGTTGAAGTAGCATTCTAACATACCTTTATTACTAGGTATATATCTGACGAGGGATAAGTGACAGAAAATACTGCCGATCTTGCCTGAGTAGACAAGTCAATGGAGGGTGTATGAGAACGCAAGAATCCTCTTAATGAATCAGGGTTGAGGTCACAATGAAAATTTTCTGAGATCTTGAAAAGAAAAAGAATTAAAATGTATTGCAAATCAAAAATGTATGGGATTTTATTTTAAAATAAGTCAAAAGTAGTAATTAGAACTACAAAATAAACACAGGCATGTGACTTTGACTGAATAAAAAGAATCCTGAAGCAGACTGCATGTGTGAAAAAGTTGCATGTTTTTTCTATGTTTTCCTAAGTTATTACTCCAGAGACAAAAACCCAAGCCCATGGAACAAAAATACTATATGCACACTTACCTTTTTTCTTTCTTTTATGTCATAGAGAGCTATGCATGCAAACAAAGGTTCGATCTCTATATCAAACCTGTTAAGGAAAGACACAAAGGACACTGATTAATACTGCACTCTTATGAATCTGTATAATAAAAAAATGAAAGGGCTGTATTTCGACTGGCACTTCCATTAGAAAATAAGGAGAAATATTTAGTTCCAGAACTCAGCTCTCTCAAAGGCTGGAGGATTTTTTTATTAGTGCATTTTATTAGATGATTTCAAGAGGAAAAGAAGGGAAATAAATTGCATGCAATGTATTTTCTAAATTTGTCAGAAAGGTGGTCTCAGATACCAGTTAAAAATGATCATACCTTTCTTGATTTTTTTTTTTTCTGTTTATCAAGTCCAGTAGCATGTATGGAGACCAATCTAGTTTGTTTGAAATATATAATTTGGGCTCATTCCCAACTCCTTTTCACCCTGACAAGTTAAAGACTTCTGTAACGATGGATAGAAAATAGTCTTCTGCTACACTAAGAAAGAACAAGCAAGCAAGAACAAGCAATCCTTGCTGAACAGGACACCTGCAGTGGTGTAGCAGGGTCGGCAGCAGTACACTGGTATGAACTGAGAAATGGTGAGCGAGGCTTGTGAAGGATACTTACTTGAGAGTCTGCAACTTCACCAAAATCCTGTTGCCCAGATGTTCCTTTGGGCGGTCTGGCACCGGCCGTATCTCCACTGCATCTTCCTACCATTAAACAGTTATTCTAGCCATACTCAATTAGAACAACTGTAAATTTACATACTTACATAAAACCTTAATGTGATGTTAACGGGGCCACTGCTACAGACTACCACCTTCCCCCACTCAACAGGCATTTCTTCTCTTTAGAGATGAAAGAAAATTGATTTATATTTATGAATATTTGTGCTTCTTTCCCCCGTCTGGCTTTCGCACTGAATATTTACACTTCTGACCCCCAAGTAAGCATTACAGTGAAGGGTAACACCCTGACACAACCATATCACCAGCACGGGGCTTGCCCCGCACCGAGGGGGGTGTAACGAAGCCTCAGGCAACACCACGAGTCTGAGTACAGCCCCCTGAATGCACATTCAAGATAGCTGACAGGAGCCCACGGTGATGTGCCTTCACCGTGTTACTGTTCAAGGGAGACACGTATCCAGGCCACAAACCCTGTTTTTGACTGTGGTGCAACTTTAACCTTAAACACACCAGGACAGCCAGCTTGGGAAGGCTCGTGGGCCAGTCAGCCTCCGAGCTCACCTCATCCACGGAGGGGTAGAGGGCGAGGAGCTCGGCGTGCCTGTTGGTGCGCCGTGCCTCCTCGTTCTGCCTCTCGAACTCCTCGGCGCTGACGTGCCGCAGCAGGTTTTCCAGGCGGGGGTCCGGCTGCAGGCTGCGCAGGTCGAAGTCGGAGGAGGTGAGGGTCGTCCTTGAGGCCTCCTCGGAGAGCGCATGGACATGTCGGGGCCCCACCTGTTGGAAAACAACAAAATGGCAAGCTGTGGCCTGGACGCTGGGGTGTCATGAAACATCTCTCGCTTGTCTGGCAGGGAGGGCCTTAACGCAACCTCTGCGGTGAGGCCTAATGGCAAGCACGGCTCTCCACTCGACGCCATTACAGGGATCCTAGGGTGCTTCCTTTGGGGAAAGCTGCTGTATTTGATCACTTCTCCCAAAGTGAAGAAAATGTACCTGAAAGTTTGCATCGCTGGAATCCAATGTTTCCGATTCAAATGTTTGTTTTTGAAGCGTCTTGTGAAAATCTTTTCGGGATCCTTTGTTTTTCAGGCTACAAATATCTGAATTCCCTTGGTTCCTTTCAAAGAAAAGCCCGAGCAAGTCAGGACAGCATGAGGAGGAGTTAAGGGAAAATAAAACAGAAAAGACAAATTTAAAAAAATATTAAGCAACTGGAAACAGTATTGTGCCAAAGAGCAGCGTAGCACCATTTTTATGCTTTCACAATGTTTAATTGTTTTATCACACCACTGCAACTCTATTGTGTATATTAAGAAAGGTTTAAGGGAAGAAAATTCATTCCGATCACTTTTGCACAGACTGTGAGCCTGAGACAGCAGCAAAACCTGACCTAGGTACAAATTCAGCTCTGAGCTCCTCATCAGATGTGGTGATTATTTCAGTGACCTTAAGAACATGGATCGGGATTGCTCTTCTCCTGGCTGACTCTTTGCTCCTGCAATTTTACATCAAGGAGCTTTCTGCTCCTGTCCTGGACCTAGCTGGTATCCCAGGTTAATCACATGCAACAATCTACACCTTCAAACACTGCCTCTTTTTGATGAGGGCTATCACTACAGCACAATGTAAGCCTCCTTGCTGGCAACTTCCCAAAATTTTGCAGCAAGGTACCAATTTCAAGTTACATTTTTGTGGCACATGGAAAAAACCAGCAGGTACCCTGAAAAAAGATACCAGACACATCCAGAGCTCTATTTCTCCCACTTTAGTATGCAATTTTCTAAATCCTGTGATGGCCTTTTTGCTATCAGCCTCCTTAGTTACAGTATCCTGCTTCACCCATTTTCCTTTCCGTAACACTCCCAAAGCAATGTCTAAACATCTGAGTACTTTCATAAAGATGCCACGATAAGCAATTATTGATAGGGGAGACACCTTTTTATTACATTTTGGGAGTAACTGAATGATATGCTCTGATGTGTTTTAATTTTAATTGTTTGCATTTTAATCGTTTACCAGTTCACTGCAAATGAAAACCGAAGTCATAAAAGAGACAATCCCAGCTCTCCTTGGATGTGACCTTGTTTTGGAACCACCTTAATCATCCAGAATGGAAAACAGACATTCTGCATGAGCTTACTTTAAGACATTTCAGCATCCAAAAGAGGTTTTGTTGATTATTTTTTCACTACCTCTGGTGGCAAACAAATGATTAATGGAGAGATTTATGTACTTGAGATCACGCTTTCCCTGTGAGATGCCTTTCCCCTAAAGTATTCCTGGAAAACTTATTTATATTGTTTATTTATTTTGAAAAGCACGGTAGCAATTAAAACTCACCAAGAGGCAAACCCTGCTTTTAGCACACGTGTCAATTTAATGGCCACACACTGAATTAAGAAAATGGCGTGAGGAAAAGAAACAAAGGACAACTCAAAGGAGAAACCAACAGGCACAGGAACGAGCCTCCCATCAAGCGTCTGGCAAAAACACATGGACCCCTCAGCTGTGTTCAGCCCCTCTGTCACACACCTCTCTGCCCTGGGGCACAAGGACCACCTCTGCTCATGCCACCTAACTGAAGACTCTTCAGTCTCCTGTTCTGAACCTTCACATCCATGAATGGATGAAAGTCACTTATACACTCCTCTCATCCATAGCTCACCGGACCATACGTTCAGCAACCTGTGCTATGAATCTCTGTCTCCCAAGTAGGCAACTACAGTTTTTCCAGCCTTTCTCAAAACAATGCAAAGTTTTCTACAACTACTTTTTCTCACTTCGCTCTTCATATCTTGTCTTCCTCTCATATCTGTTTTGAGAATAGTGTCCAAGCATAACATGAGACACCCAATACCAGTCACTGGTTTATGTGACACTGCAGCATCTTTCACATTTTGTTCTTTGCAATTTTTAATAACTTACTTGCTTTGTTAGCCATAGCCATCAAAGCTCAGCTCTCCGGCAGGGCCCTTCATCATGTTTACCACAGACTCAACTGCTCGATAAAGTTATTGAATGCAAGTTTGCCTTACCTGAATGAATGAAATAGTAAAACACGACAAATCTTTTCATGCACATGTATTTCTACAGCTCCATTCACGTTTCGAGAAGCACATGTAAGTGCAAAAATAGCTATGCTCTATTTTTCACCTCACCTACTTTACTGCTTGCTCGCTACTCGTGTGCACAGACAAAGCTGCACACTAGCTCTTTACAATGCACTCAGAACAACCCTGCGTGAAAGATCGGGTGCCCATGCTCTGAGCCGTGCAGGTGGAGAGCCTGCAAAACCCGCTAGCCTATTTTTAGTGACTCACTGTGGAACAGTTCTGAGAACTCAATCAATTTCATCAGCACCCCCAGAGGAAGTCTCTTAATAACCCTCAGCGGCTGCTTCATCCCTGCACAAGCTGCACAATTAAACAATGCAATTCCTTTACAGTCATCAGGAGTCAGCCCATAGTGCACTGACTGCTGAGGTACATCACATCAGAAAAACAGAGAGTAGCACGGGTGGGCGAAGGGGCACAACAAAATGGCAGCAGATGTACCAGCACTCTACCATCGGCTGCTACTACGGCTTCTCAAGAACAGGGCATGAGCACAGGAAGGGATGAACAAGAAGCAGTGCAGAAAAACAGAGCTCCAAAAACCTCTTTCTGAAGAACAGGAGGGAGTAATGGGGAAGGAGGTGAGCTCCACTGGCACAGTGCACCTCTGATGGTCTGGGGACAGACACCCCCACATGGAAAGCACTGATGGAGAGTTCCCTTCACATTTAATACATGAAATGGAATGAAATGAAATTATAAAATTAAATTAAATTAAAATAAAATAAAGTCACTTATAATGACTACAGGTCCAGTTCTGTGTGTTGAATTATACTGACCCCAAATGCAGAAATTGCTTACTGATGCAAAATAGTAACCTTGGATGTTACACTAATAATTCCATGAATACACTCAATCACTGCTGGAAAAGCCCATAATGCTTGTTTTTTTGCTACTAGCACTCCGTTTCATTTTCAGACACCAGTAGAAATCAGATCATGTTGAATTTTCAGGGCATGGATGGGAAAATGAAGAGTATACAAATGTAATCTTTATCCCTGTTATCTTTCCTTTTAGTGTGACCAAATAGTAGCAGTATTCCTGATTTAGATAAATCATCATTACAGACAGTTAATGTGAATTTCTTCCCAATTAATTCCCAGAGCGCCTGATAATTAAGAAGCAGATGCAAGAATATTTAGCTATAGCCCACTAGCTCAAACAAAACAACATAGTTATATATACTACTGAAAAGTCAGTTCTTGTGTTCAGTCACTGATTCAAATCATTATTGTTGAGGATTACTTATAACAGCATGCATCTCCTCTCTGACAAATAAGATGCCAGGTATTTTCTGTATTATTTACTTGTATGTCACTTACTTTCGATTCACAATCAGCCACTCCCGGATATACGTCTGAACACAGTCTCTGACATGTAAGTCCAGTTCAACCCTGAGGAAAAAGCAATATATTGTAAATATTTTAGCACTCAGATCATACCTTAAGGACAAAGAAATTTGTCTAAACATGCTGTTCAGATAAAGGCCTCCCTATTAGTCCTCTCCTGTATATTTATTTTACTGCTAAACTATTGTTTGAGGTTTAAAGAATTCTGTGTACTGCATGAATTCCCTGATGCAGGTTTCTGTTACTGTGTTTATAAATTAACAAACATACATTTAACAGAGGTAACCATTTGCCACACCACACATTTCATGAATATAAGACCAATGTTGCTACAAAATACAGCAAAATAAAATAAATTATACCAGGTACCCATCTTTGTGATTTTCAAAACTTGGTAACAAGTCTTAACATACAGAGGCCTCATCTTTTGGACCCTTACAAATACATAGGCTCTTGTATGTTTTCGTGTAATTTTCTCTTTGTCATAGAAATGAAGAAAATTCTAAAAAAGTACCCTAAGCTTTTAATCAGATAGCATAATAAAACTTTAAGACCTAAGAATATGTTTTAATTTTATGATTTTCAAATAAGTCTCATTTAAGGTAGGGCGTTGTCAGTGCTGCCTAATAGACTGGATACTGATTGGAACTGAAATATTATAAGCTAAAGTCGATGTCCATGAATTTGCTGTCATGATGTTGTAGCATAATTCCCCTACCACTATTCTAAAAAATTTTAGCGACATGCCAAAATCACTTGTTATGTCCTCTGATCCAAGTAAGTAAAAGAGTAGGATACACACACAATGCAGGAATGGGTGAAAGGTATGATACTTTTTAGCACTTTCCACCCAGAACTCTTAACAGATTTACAACCTATTACCAAGACCAGGTAAAAACCGATCTGGGTTCATGCGTGCACTGCTGGACGCAGCCTTGGCTGATACCAGACTGCTGCGTGCCCCTGCCACTGGCAGGCTGACGCAGCACATGGTCACTCCCTGCATCTGGTTCAGATGGGAGGTATGTTTGCATATGTTTGCAAGCAAGCAGGATGTTAACCCAGTTTGGTTGGTGCTGTTTCCTGCTCTCCATGCAAGAAGACACCACAGACTGCATCGCCTGCAGGTGAATCTTTGGTCCATGCCCCTCTTGTGCTCTCATCTTCCCTCACACACCCTGGCACCCTTGATCAGGATTTTCTGTGAAAGCACTAATATGGATAATGGAAGTGTGAACAGCTCAATGGGAAGCTACTGTGTAAAAAGTCTGCTGAAAGCATATTTGTCGGTGTTGACTATTTGAGCTTTGCCACAGACTCCTTACAAAACCCTTAATGTCACTGTGGTGCAAATCAGGCCTAAAACTGATTGTACAGTGTGAGTCTACGTGTTCTCCTACTGGAAAAACAAATAGATAACTGCTGGTTGAGACAGCAGGAATGCTGGGAAGTAACCTTGGAAATAGGGGAGAAATGGTCATCTTATCTTTTAAATCTCATTTCAAAGTTGGATTTTTTTTTTTACTTTTTTTGTCCATCATTTAAATAAATGGGAACTTCAAGCACCAAAATATTCACTGTCTCCCACATGCATTCTTCCCAGCCCACAGGAAAACAAGAATTCATGATCAAGATTGGAACATCTTCTATGAGTAACTTCAAGTGAAAATCACCTTTTGTTACAAAATACCCTAAGAGCTGTATGATTCAAAGAGCTCTGAGGTGACCTAGCATGGCACCTCGCCTCTATCACCTTTGCTCTCCTGAAGTTCCTGAGAGATGCATTGGGCCAAGAAAGAACTTGCAGTCTGAGACCTTGCTTAGAGAGAGGTGGTTTCAGCTAGTCCACAGCTGGCCAAAATCATATAAGCTGTGGTTTCCGCTTAGCCTTGTTGCATTTGGTATGTTGGGCAGAAAACACTGAACAAATACTGCTGCTGTATAGGGCTCTAGTTCATACAGCTGGCCAGTATAAATTAGAGCAGCCTGTAACAACTTTTGCAGTAACAGAGGGGCATGCAGGTGTGCTCTGTGAGCCAGGACACCATAAGCTAAGCCTATTTGGACCTTCAGCGTTCAGGTTCAGCACAGCAGAGAAGACAGACTGTGCTGTTCATTTCCTGAATATACCTACTGGAAGGAGCCAGCCCCCCATCCTAAACATGTTGCACTGTTAGCTGTCTTTGCAGACATAGCAGTTTGGGGCTAAACTGGTGCTGACTTTGTGTTTATCTGGCCATTACTGCTTGCAAAACTCAATGCGCCTTTGTGGTTCTACTTGAAAGTAACATTTACAGCAACACAATCCTTGAAGAGTAGTTTGTATACAATGCATAGGACTCTCCTAAACCACATCAGAAAACCCTCCAATGCATCCCTTTTTCTCATTCTGAAAAATTCTGTTGCCCGTAGTTTGCCTGTTAATCAAACCAGCTTAAATACGTCCAGGATGGCCGAGCACCTGTATCGACACATACTATCTGTTTTAATTTAAAAGCTGTTGAAAATAGTGGAATTATTTCAGTAGTGTCAACCTGAAACCAAAAGTGACTCCTACACCAGAAATTAACGCTTTTTTTTTTCCGCAAACCTTGTGAAGTATGAACTATTTCCGCCATTTAAGCAAGAAAGGTACTGAGAAAGATGCTTAGTGATCTGATCAATGCCATGTAACACATAGCTGGCAAAAAAAAAAACCCGAATCCTGTGTTTACTACATGATCAGGATCAACTTCCACCTCTGGGACCACAGCTACAAAATAATTTTTCATACTACCTTCCTGCCCTTCTTTACTCTTCTTCCTGGTCTATGCCTACCTCACTTCTGCCACTACCAGCTAGCTCAGGAAGTCGTGTAAGCACTTGTATAATTTTAAGTGTGCAAACAAGCCTAACAGAATGGTGAAGTTCAAATGTTTAATGTTCAGCAAGTGCATAATGGCTGGATGGATGGCAGTGAGGTGTCTGGATCAACATCTTCAAAACTATTTTTAAACCTGCAGCATTTCAGAGGGAGAGCAAGTTTCCTTACCCATCTTCTGGCATAGAGGGTTGCAAAGTCCTGCACTCTTTGGGTGTAAAGACAATGTCCAAGTCATCTTCAGGGAAGTCACCAAGTTCTTGTGCTAGTTCTGAGTCCAAGTTGTTCAGCCGCGTCATTAGGAAGCCTTCAAAATCTACTGGGTCTACTGCGTCATAAAAAGAAGGCTAAAGAAAGAAATAAGGAGGTGTTTATTTTAGCAACAGAAGGTTTTTCTTAATAGCGTAATTTAGGTTTATTTATTTAATTCTTGTCATTGTCCCATTATTTATTAAACACTGGAAACAGACTTCTAATGTCATATACAGCACCACTGCATTTAATGCAGGGAAAAATTGCTAACGAGACATTCAGCTGAAAAAAGAAAGGGAACAAAGAGAGAAAAGTTTTAAAACACAAAGAAGAAATTGAAGATACTACACCTAAATCCAAACTGGCATCAATTTTCTCTGTTGAGCTTTCCTAGATGCTGGTAGAAGGAGGGCTGACTGAGGTACATCCTAGATGCCCTCAGTTGTGTTCTGCTGGATTCTCACGCAGTGCACTCAGTCCCCCTTGTCCAATACATGGTATTAATCAGAGTTATGAAAAAGGCAGCAGTAGGTAGGAATAGCAGAGAACAAGAGCAGATGACCAAAATGATAGTGACAGGCAGGGCCAGCTGGCAGGGAGCTGCTGATGGACTCTACCGCACATGTGACGAAAGGCACTAGCAATTACAAGGCCAAGGCAGTAAGTCTTGGAAGTTATACTGAGCCAGGGACCAACTATAAGCACCATGGCTGCTATCATGAAGATGTCATTCATTTGAGGTGCTGTGCCTGAAAGATACTGACTATTAGAAACGGTGTGTGCTCTCAACTCCAAACAAAGTTGAGGGCATGATATACCCAAAATCAGAAGAAATTATTATTTTCCATCTCTGGATGTTACTGGCTTGTATATTATTGGAGTTCTAATTTTACTGTTTTTTTCAAGGGTTAGTACAGTAACTACACAGAAGATTACATGGAACTACTAAAGTTATTATTGCAAACCTTAGATATCCACCATTTCTACAGCACATGGCATTGCACCTTGATAGATAGCAGTTGTATCTGATTACATTTGATCAGCCATTCTTACACAGAACGTCTGATCAGAACAAAGTTAAACAAGTACAAGCTCTGCCACTCATTACGTGCTATGAAGCTGTCTGGCTCTTTTTATCTGCTTAGTCTCAAAAACAGAGGCAGAAAATCTTGTTTGATATGGCACCTAGAAATGTTCCACATACACATAAATGTGACTTCATACATTAAAAGTATATGTTATTCTATGTATAGATAAAACTGAAAATTATTTTACTTGCTATCTAGCCAACAAAAATAGCCTGTATATGTTTAGAAAACAAAACAGCTGTCTAATTGTGTACAGAGACCAGCATCTCATATTGTTAATTTTCTTGACAAGTAACAAACAGGTCTAAAAGCTACAGCTTTACAAAACCTGTATTTTATGTTCTGTGAGTTCCAGAAAGGCCAAAGACACCTCAGCGCAATAGGAACACAGAAAAATAGTGCATTTCAATAATAGCACTGGAGTAACTTATTTACTAGGAGGAAGAATTCAAGCAAAAAATAACTATCAAATCATCCTTGTCTGTAAAGAGCAAGGATTGCATTGACTGATAACCCAAATACCTTTCACAAGACTGTCTTCTGAAGCTGCCAGCAATAAATAGTCTGAACATAGATCAGATAATCTACCTCTATCGTGCTGTTGATGGGGTGTGGGGAAAATAAGGCACCCAATGTCCCTGATATCAACACTGCCTTTTATATTCAGTGTTACTGTGGCTAGTGTCTCATCCAACATGTGTTCTGGAGCTATCCTCCTTATACTCCAGTGTTCTTCTCCACAAATAAAATCTCTGCAGCAAAATCATGAAGTCTTCACTCATTATTACTGACTCCTACTCATGCAAGGCTGTCATGGAAGCTGACAGGATTTTTGCCCGAGCATGAAGTGACCTCTGCACATAACAGTGTTACATGCATAGTATCAGGAATTTTAGCTCAATGAGGAATTCCACAATTTATGAAACACGCAAAGGTTCTCAACAGTGGCAAAGCTCTGGGTAACTCTGAACTAAAATGGCTCATAAATGGCTCATATGCCACGTCAGTCACTGGAGATACTAAGGTGAGTTAAAGCTGAGTAGTGATAAATATGAATTTTGGAGCCTTTCTAGTGTTCTGGAGATATAAGTGAGGAAGTTATTTGGCTAATAAAAATCCAGAAACATCTTGCAGAAAGGGAAGCATATTTAGAAGAAATGTGCCAAAAACATGATTCTATGATTTATCTAGGAGAAGAAAACCAATTTAAACTTTTGAAAAAAACAGATGTGGTAAATACTCCTGCAAATGATATAGTAGAGAACAACGACCCCTTGTCCCAGGTTCCCCTTTTATAGGGAAACTGTACTGGTCTCTGCGCAAATAAAGTCTCTGAGCTCACCCCTCTGCCTGTACATTTAAGGGATCGATTGAATTCTCTGAAACCATCTTTGGGAAAATCTCTCTCTCTTTCTCTGCTCTTTTTGTCCAAAGGAAAAACCTAAAACTAAAAGTAAGTGCAGCAAATCATGAGGCAGCCTGCTGAAGAAATACACTGCGCTGTTAATATATTTTTAGGTTAAGCACTATATCTGGTTTGCACCTAGCGTAGTGCTGAGCATACTGGATCAACAGTTATGAGTAAATAGTGATTTTTATTAGCTATTGATTATTTATTAATTATCGTCAAAGTTCACTTACCATACTGCCAGTGGGTAAAACATTACATGTTAGTGTGTATATATATATATGTATGAAGACCTACTAAAAAAAATTCACAAAAGATTAAAGTAAAACATAAAGTATACAAAAGCATATTACATCTTTTCAGTTGCTGAAGATGTAGTGTTTTGCATGCAAAATATTTTTGCTTAATACAATCTGATTTTTGATTAAGTATTGCACTTCCTTTCAGAAATCACTTTTCCATTCTGACAAGTCACATCCATTGCATATCCTTATGTCTTCTAACTTTTTCTAGTTGAAGTGTTAATAACAATCTTTAATCATTCGAAATGTGTGCTTTTGACTACCGTAAATTAGACACAAATGTAAAAAAAGTTGGTGAGAAAGGTAAATGCAGATGGAGGGTAATGGTTTCCCTAACGATTGGTGCAAATTATCAAAGGAAACAGAGATACCGTTTCAACTGAGAAGCCAACACTCCTTTTCACACATCATACAAGTGTGCAAAACAATTACTCTACAGAAAATGCCACAAATCATTACTGCAAACATACCTTTTTCAGGATGATGGATTAGAAGCATGTGGATTGTGACAGCACACAAAATGGCAGCTACGGCGTAATACTTGGTAAATGAAATGTTATCAAGTTTCTCAAGAGCAAAACCAGTTGTCTGCATCTAGAAGAAAGGACCTAGCCTCCCCCAGGCTGAATAACCGCAAGGAACAAGTTAAAACAACAGCATTTCAGATTAAGGAAGTGAGTAGTAGTGGCAGGAGGCCCTGACACACAGGAAGTAACTGCTTACATCTAGTGTTTTACATTTTTCACAACCACTGGTGCACAAAGACTTTTCCCGCTTCTACTTATCGAGTCTCACAAAAATAAGAAAAAATTAAAAGGGTAGGAAAAAGGAGAGTATAAAAATCTTAGTCAGTTTTATTTATGCCATAGTACGTTTGCAGAATACCCATCCTCCTGAAAGGCAATTAAAAAGATCTGACATTTTTTCCCTTTGTCGTAAGGGCAGTGTCATACGGTCTAACTTTTTTAGAGGAGGATTACACATGGAAGGCTGAAGATGATTCGGAGACACATAACAGTTGACTCAATTATATCTATGCCAATCAGGGCATACTTTGGCATTTCTCACTTAACATGCTTACTGTAGAGCACTGAAAAACAGATCAGTGTGCTGCGTCTACTGCTAGCTCTGGAAACTGTGTATTAAGCCTAGCTAGCTTTCTTTTTTTCTCTTTATTCACTGACCTCCTTTTGCAAATCATCTGTGATCACCGCACGCTGTACTTAATGGTGTTCAATGTTTTCAGCAAGAAAAGGATGTAATATACTCCAACACTTACTAATTAACTTTGATTTGTAGTAATATGCAGAAAGACTGTCTATTTCAGGCTCCAATGACCATTCTCAGTTTTTTCAGATGTACAATTTCTTCAGCTCACCAGGGAGTATTTTTTAACAGCTTTAGGCAGAAGCCAGTGGAAAGCAAGACAACTTAAGACAACCACTTAATTTACCCTAAAAATATTAAGCAATGTAGATGCCAAACCTCTGTAAAGAAGATAAACCCAGAACTTACCAGATGAAGAGTAGAAAAGCCAGGGGTACTTAAGCTTCGTTGACAGAACTGCGCAAAGCCTGGTTGGAGCGTAAATTGCTTTCTTATTTCTGCAGATGAGTGCCTTTAATTAAGCAGAGAAAACCCCTTATAATTACAATTGTCCCCATACAAATTCCAAATGCCAATTTAGTCTCCTGTCCCAGTGTTTAGAAATGTATTTTGATGATATTCTAGACTCCTCTTGTTTTGTAGTTGATGCAAACCTCAAAAACATCTGCAGTCCTACATAATTAAGATTCTGACATTCTTCCAGCAGATTTCTAACATTATATTGCAGTCCTCACAACTGGGAAAGGCTATGCCAGAAAGAATAACCTTGCCCTTCAGTGAAGTGTGACTGTAACATGTACAGCAATACTTGCACATTCATTTCTGCAAAGCAAAGTTACAGGATAATAGAGCGGAAAAAGAAAAATGAACATCACAGAAGCAAATATTTTAATGAACTAGTAATTAACCAAAGAATAAAAACAAGACAGGATCACTCACTGAACAGTGTAAGCCCAGACTTATGTTAATAATGCAGGCTGCTGTGAAAAGCACAAGACAAACCAAAGCATGAATTTAAAAATCAGCCTATACTGTATCAGCTGAACTTTTGAGGAAAAGACTTCTTAAGTGCCAATTAATTGATTTCAATGGGAGCAGAAAGACACCAGTACTGAATTCTTCAGAAATCCCAAGGATAGTACGGTTGCATGTACCCAATCTGAAAATTCAGTAATCAGAGTAGCTTGGTCATTTTTCATGGAAACAAATCAATTTATATTTAATATGATTTAAGAATAATCAGTCATGACATGGTAACAAAACATGTGCAATGTATTTCACCATGAATGTCCAGGACAAGACTTTTAAAAAACAAAGATGCACTTAAGCAGATTCCAAGTAAAAAAACCCCAAACCTGCAGCCCACCAGGGCAGCCAACTGGGAGACAGGAAAATACAGAGGTAAAAGACTTTCCCTTCCATATGAGACTCTCTTTCAACTCCAGCAAGCATTAATAGGCATCTTAGAATTACCAGATGCCACAGGACAGTTTGCCTATTTGTTTGGTCTGCACCTTCTCTCCTCTGTGGCCTCTTGATTTCTGCAACTACTATACCTATTCTGTACACTTAATCTTTACTACTGCTTTTCTGAACAAGCATGACAAAAACCTGAACTCTGCTCAATGCAGTTCTGCTCGTGTTAAGAGACAGGCATCTCACAGAAAATATTAAAGGTATTAGAGGTATTAGTCCTGATTTCTAAAATAAAAGATGCATAAATAGGAGTAGTTGCTCATAGGTCAAAAGGCCACTTCAGGTGTGAGTGCAACATTGCTCCAATCTGAGGGCAGCAGCAATTGCAGTCAGAGCAAAGCTGGAGTTATAGAGAAAGAAAAGAGATCCATTTGGAAGAGAAATTCCTACTCATCAGTGGTATTCTAAAAATAAGACAGGATGAAATGGAATTTTCTTAAAGGTTGTTCCATAATTATATAATCAAGAAGCCACACAGGGTGAGTGAGGAAGTCTGTGTGTTCCTTAGATTATTTTTGCCCTATTTTAAAAATAAAAGCTGCTTGTGTATCAAAGCTACTGTTACTCATCTTCCCACTGCAAATAATCTCTGATCATGAATGTATGTGGCAAGGTATAAAACAAACCTCAAATTATTCAAAATTATTATTTTCCTTCAAACTGAGTCAGTTTCTACCCTGTGCAGAAGTATCTGTTACTGATGTAAATAATAGATGTAGCAGCAGATGTTCGCTGAATGTATGTAAAAAAACTGTGTTACTGTGTATTGCAGAAGCTTCTGCCGTAAACAATGATATAACACATCTCTGAATTACACCAGATATGGGGTCATCAGACTCTTTGAAGAGGAAATAGTATGAATTTTCATCTACAAAAGAGGAAGCATGCATGTGGATGAAGGGCCAAATTTGCTGTCTGGTAAAAGCCTGTGCAAGCCCAGCTAACTGAGAGGAAATATGTTTCTCAAGAGTGTTGACATTAGTTCCAGAGTCTCCCCAATATTTAAAGAAAGAACCTGCAAAATATATCAGTCCAATGCAAGAAGAATCCTGTAATCTACAAAGGTGAATTTCAAATAGCTTAAGAGTAGCTCAATTGATTGATTTCATGTTTTTCATATCACTGAAGCAAGAAAGGGAGAAGAAATACAGTAAGAAGTTGGTTTGAACCAACTCAGAAATGATTGGCAGGATCTACTAGGAATAGGTGAAGGAAAGACACAGCTGCTAAAAGACGCTAAACCAAAAGCACAATTTAGCTGTCCCAACATGGAGAAAAGGTGGGTCTTGCAGTCAGAGATCTGCACGGAAAGTTTTGAAAACCTGAGAACTGACGTAGAAATGGAGGTCCTTCTAGACAGCTCTTTGATAATGCCAGAATGGCTGTGGTCTGTGAGATGCCTGTTTTCTGATCAAACCGCTCCCTAAAACACTGCCTGGGTACCCACAGGAAAATGGTGGTCCACGTTAACCTAGTGCATGTGGTGTCCCAGCTGTTATGGAGGCTGCAGTCCATCTATGTCATGGTCATACTTTTACTCTCCTTGCCTGTACAGCAGCCCTGCCTGGTTTTGAGGAGAGCTCTACAGTCACCCTTAGCAGCAAGGACAGTCTAGCTATGTGCTAAAAAGCAGTAAGGAAAGAAGGCAAGTGATTAAGGATGAATGCAAAGCAGTCACTGAAAAATCTGAGCAAAAAAGGCCACTAGATCTCTAGAAAGGAGGACTCAGATAATCATGGGCCAGTCAGCTGGTCTCTGACACTCAAAAAGGTAGTAGATCAACTTACTGGACAATCAACTTCTAAGTAGCCGGAACATCAAGTCCCATGCTGTGGTCTCCAGTTGAAGCAAGGGGACTGTGAAATCATACTTAACATTAAAATGTACATCACCTTAGTAATGCCTGTTTATTAATAGTCTGATGATGAAATGTATGGTGAGCAACTAGAAACTGCAGTCTGTAGTAAGCTATGGTCCAAAAAGTTTGGCAATTATTGGTATACTATTGGCAATTATTACTTAATGATGAACAGCCAATATGGATTTATCAAAGAGCAGTCACATAAAACCAGTCTAATACTTTTCTGTGATAGTTTAACTGGCTTCAGTAAGGCTCTTGATAATGTCCCTCATGACATTCCTATAAGCAAAGTAAAGAGATAGTGGCTAGGTGGAATCATCACAGCTGTTTCCAAAACTGCTTAAAAAAACGTATTCAAGGTGTAGTCATCAGTAGTTCAAAAGAAGACTGTGAAGAGATTTTGAACAATCTACTACTGTAAGTGAGAAGCAAGTTGATTTTTCCTCAGTCTAGTTCCAGCCCATATTTTATTTTACAACACTGATGATGGTACAGGTAACATAGTAATAAAATTTGTGGATCACATCAGACTGGAAGGAGTTGTGAGTGCTCTGAAAGGCAGGACTAGCACTCCAAATGATCTCCTATTTTAGAAACACTCTGAAATCAGCACAGTTAGAGTCAATAAAAATAAATGTAAACTCCTAAACTTAGGAAGAAAAAAGCAAACGCAGAAATACAAAAAGGGAAATGAGCTGTCCAAAGAAATAGCCATGCCACAGAAGACGCTCTGAGAGAGTATACTGGGACACTTACTAACAAAGTATAACAAGGTACTGTAAGTGAGGAAAAGAGGAGTTATTTCTGTTTATTTAAGCCAATGAGACAGTTCTTAGGTTGATGTACACACTTAGAGCACTGCAGACTAAGATGCAATCAAATTTAAAAGGCTTCAAAAGAGAGCAGTCAGAATGCTAAAAATTTTGGGAAGGATGACCCATGAGGAAAGACTGAAAAAAATAAATGTGTTACAAAAGAGATGACTGAGGGGAGACAGCAGTTGTCCTTGACTATGTCAAAGGTAGTAAAGAAAACGGTGAGCAATTCATGTCCGTAAAGGGAAGAAGAAGTAATCTGCTTAAATTGAAGCAAGAAATATTTAATAAGCCATTA